AAGGACTCCTTGTCCGCGCCCCAAGTGCTGCCAGCTAGCTCCTTGAGGACCTTGTTCCTACTTTTCATTTTTGTCGCAGATAGCTGTGGCTTGCAAGGACGATTTGATCATACTGTTGAATGTGACCCCTAGGATCTTGGACTTAAGACCCATTCATATTGAGCGGACCATGTAGTAAAGAGTGTGGCAATTGATTCAGTGGCAGATATTTTCATATTCCTCGCGTGGAAGTAGGCGGAAGCTCAGCTAGATAGGTGTCCAGCCTTATACATACCTTACAACACTAGGGCCCGACGCGATGATCGTCGCATCATTCGCATACGTGACGATTTCTATGCCGCCTGGAGGGCGGGGGATTCCGGAAAGGTAAGTGGTTAAACAGTTCCGGAGATATCACTCCACCTAGAGGAACTCCCTGTTTCACCCTAGGGGAAATGGACTTCGTGTTCCGTAATTCCACATACAACTGGCGTCCACACATTTAGTTGAGTTGATTATTTAACGTTTGGTCGGATTTTCTCTCTACATCCTCAAACAGTGTGGCTACCAACACTGTTCTATGGCACGGCTTGTTCTGGCTAAATTTTCGACTGATATGTGTAGATATGGCTTGCAATTCTGTTGTGGTGCTATGTTGTGGACGGAATCCTGATTTTGGGAAGGAGTAAAACTTCAAAAGTTTTTGCTACTGGCAACAAGAGCGAAATTGGGCAGTATGATTAGCCTTTCCTGGCATTTTTGTCTGGCTCCTGTATCGGGACCACCCGACCCATTTGCAAGGCTTCGTGAACAACATTACCATTGAAATTCCGTCCTGGCTCAACGCTTTGGATGACTTAGCATTTCGGATGACTTTTGCAACAAACCCATCGTAAAATGTGGTGAGACGAGATATTACAAGACGTAGTACTCTTCGATTCGCCGTATCGCTCTCAGAGTGCTCGACAAATTCATTTGCTTGTCTCACTACTTTTCTTGGGACCCTTGGACGCATGGAACCGAAACTGGGAGTAACTCTTTTACGAGGTCTGCCCAGAGGTCTTTCTCTGGTACCGCAGGTGATGAGAAATTCCAAGGAACCTCAACACTCTGCCTCATTATCACAGTTCCTTGTGATCTTTGTCGAGGGCACTTTGAGACTAAATAGGTTGCCGTTCGCCAGCGTAAGACCGGAAAGGGTGAATAGGCCTCGCTCCTAGCAGTTTTAAAACCACGTCCATGTAAACGTGGTGATTAGACTGCACCATCAGTGTAGCACTTGTCCTATTCCTGATCGTGCCTTAATTTTACTCATTGTAGTTGACCAGTCCCAAACTGGAACTGGAAACAAAAACTGGTAGTTGTTTCGACTACGAAGTTTGACCGGTGCAGCGGGTGTTAGGAGCCCCTAGATCTGTTGATATATCCTGACTACAGAGATTCCCCTTTTTCAGGGGCCACGCGGTGGATGTTGTGTATACCCAAATGGTGGGTAGAACTTCGGCTCGATGTGGAGTTGCATTCTCAACCGGGTGTTGCTACCCACAGAGCAGCAGAGGTGTAAAATAGTCGTCAACCCCTTGCCAAGAGGGAAGTGAAGCACATATAGCTGATATTAAAATTGGTACCTTCGAAATAGACTTAGAACTCTGTGGATAGCTACCACTCTCTAAGATAACTCTGAGTAGTTCCAAAGAAATGATGGCTGACTCATCTTATCGTGACTCTGGTGCAATGGTGCACCGTGGTTAGAGCCGTCAAGGCGAGAATCATGTAAAACGCCCTCGATTACATGCCTCTACTGGTAAATTTGTTTTTTTTTTTTCGGGTATCCGACCAGGAGGTCTAACCCAAATGGTTTGGGCAGTTCTCTGAAGTGACGATTGGTGAACTCTCCGAATTCTGACCGTGGGACCTCTTCGGATCAATCACCGTTACATCGACTATCATCACTTTTCCCAACGATTAACACTCATATCGGTTCCAATGTTGCACCGCTTCAGATGGTCTAGCAACTTTCTGGGATCAGCATGATTGAAACCAAAGGGTCATTTCATCGCTCATTTACTTGTTACATACTCATGCATACTCGTATTTCAGTGTGATCCATAGTGCTATGGAAATATCACTGATGATATTTCAATTATAGCATAACTAATTGAAAATTATTCAAATACTATTTTGTTTTTTTTTTTTTTTAAATCTCCTTCCTGATTTCTATTTTTAAAAAAGTGCTAACGGTTTTATAATTTTGCAAATATATTTTTTTATACATCGCCCTTGCATATAACTTTCATTTTTATCGCCGCATTCATTTTTATACCCAGAGAATGGACATACTTAATTTTTCTTCGAGTGTATTATATTAAAAATTTATTTTTTATTAATTATATAAATTATTAACATGATAAATTAATTGATTTTTTTATTACTTAACAGATAAACGTTTCGTTATATTTCATTGTGTGTAATAGAACAGAAAATGGCAAACATAGATCAGCGGAATAAAATTGGTCTCATAAATCCTTCAGATATTTGGCCATTAACGACTGTCGTTGTTGTAGCTAAATTATGAAATTACATTATGGGTATCTGGGTGTATCTTATTTACATTTACATATGTTTTTCTTGTTGTTGTTACGTACAAATTTGAAGTATACAAAAAATGACTTATATAATAATTTATATTAATTTATTTGGGTAATTGTTTATTAACGTTTTTTTTATTACTTTTTTCCTTGTCTACAAATGAAGTCATAAAAAATATCCCAACTCCAAGTGGGGCGGGGCATCATAAAAATCCCTCTCTCTTAACATAATAATCTTTAATCGTATCCCTGCTTTCGATGTTTTATTTTTGTTATTATTTTTGTTTTTGTTCTGTTTAATTGTACAATTCAAAAGTCACTCATCTTTGTTGTGTATTTGTGTTTGCGTGTATGTTTGTATGCCGATTTTATTGGGAACTGTTAATTCATTTTAGCAATTCATTTTATTTGGATGAATGTTGAAGAGAAAACATTTATTTTGTAATTTAATGTCCCATAATTTTTGTGTGCAATCTCATGTTTAATTGCAGAAAATTCAATCAATTGAATGTTTCAGTTAATAAAAACCTTTGAGAGATTTAATATGGTTAAGTTTTATATTGTTCTATAAAAAATTGTAATTTATGAACTCTATAAAATCGTGGCATTCTAATTCCAATTGGAATGTTCGTTTTTATTGGGGGAGATTATGTGGATGATGTCTTAAGTCAGAGAATTGTACATTTAATTCAAGAATAGGCTACTTTGCACAGTGTTTCTATCAATGAAATATTCAGAAGAAGTCTAAGAATAAATCACGGGTGCATTTCAACAAGTATAAGCGGGGACGAAAAGTATTAAAATGTACTAAAAATTGAATATTGAAATTTGGAATGAGAGTTAGCGATGGATGTTCCAAAGGGTTCTTTGAAAATTCGAACTTTAAGGTCACGAAAATATCTAAAATGGTACTAAACTTCTAAAATTTTGTGTGAGAATCAAGGTTGAAAGGTAAATTTAATACATGAAGGTGTTTTTGGAAATTACTACTAAGTGTGAGAACGGTACTAATTGGTACTAAATTTGGGAAAGTTTGGTTTAGGATGAACGCATGGAGCTGAAATTTTGTGTTAGCGTCCCTGTTAAGGGTTGGTTTGTGATAAAGATATGGTTTTTGAAATGTGTACCACAATTGCACGAAACGTACTAAATAGTACTGGTGCAATTTGTTATTGAATTATTGGAAATAGTTCTTGAAATCTGAAATTTGGTATTAGGGTCGCTGTTCATGTATAGCCTGGTCATATTGAGGTGGTTTCGGAAATGTGTACTATAATTGTACGAAAAGTACTAAATGATACTATGTTCTTGGTATTGGATTAAGGGATAAAAAGAAAATTCTTAAATTTGATATTTTCATAACTGTTGGCATTTGGGGTTGAGATTTGGAGGTGTTTTTTATAAATGCGTCCTAAATTTGTACAAAAAGTACTTAATGGTATTAATTTTGTTGTTGGGTAGAGAGATAGAGCTGAAATTGTTAAATTTAATATTGAGATCTCTATTGGTATCTGGGATGGAGGTGGTTTTGGAAATGTGTACTATAATTGTACGAAAAGTACCAAATCGTACAAGGATTGGTATTGAACGAAGGAGCTTAAATCCTGAATATTGTTATAGATGTCACTGTTGGTGTCTGTAGTTGTGAGAGAAGGAGGTAGTTTGGGAATACTTACTATGAACGTTCGAAAAGAGCAAATGAGCCGTTATGAGTCGAGATAGTGTCTAGGGAGAAAGAAAAGGAGGTGAATGGATTTGTAATGCTTTTGAAGAGGGGACTTGAAATGGCATTGGTATATAAACCTAGTGTGGCTTATGGGTTCAGTTTGAAATCGATATTATCTTGAGAGCAATTGCTTTATTAAATACCTTTTAACTACTACAAAACGGTTTACTGACTCCCAATTTTACACTGATTGGTAGGTTTCGTATCGAGATGAATTGAACTAGGTCACTGGTTCGACTTTGTAGTGGGACATGTACACTTTGTAGTGACGTTACTTATTACTTGGTAACATAAAAGTATGTTATAGCGTCTTCCAAATTTTTTAGAAAATAATTCAATAATGTTTGGTTTGTTGTAATGCAGAGATTGGGTATTGTATTTTCTAAAAGTAGTGCACGTGATATGCGATTTTTCCAATACCACTTAGTACTTTTTGTACAAATATAAGACACAAAGCACTGCACAATCTCATCAGTGCCATCAGTAATCTAAATATCAATACTATTCGTACAATTATAGCACACATTTTCGAAACCACCTCCATATGGCCAGGCTACACATGAACAGCGACCCTAATACCACATTTCAGTGTTCAAGCACTATCTGTTCACACCTAATACCTAATTGAACCAAATATATAACCATTTCTAAAACTTCTTACATACCCCAATCTTACAGTTTAACAGTAATCTTAATTCAAATTTCAGGATTCCAGCTCTATTGGTTCCCCAAATCCAAATCTTACCAAAGGTATATAAAAGTATAACTTTCCATTGCTACTTACATCATACAATCTAATAGAAATCTTTTTTATTCTAAATTTCAGGATTTCAACTCTACCGGTTCTTCCAAAATTTAAATTGTACCAAATTTAGTTCCACTTAGTACACATAAGTATGAATTTTCAAAACTAACTACATATCTAAGTCCTAAATGCAAAAATAATTTTGTTTCAAAATTTCAGCTCTGTCGGTTTGCACAAATCCAAATTTACCAATTTTATTATACATAAGTACGAATTTCCAAACTCCCTATATACCCCTACCATTTAGTACAAATAAGTGCACATTTCCATAACAACCTGCATCATACAATCCAATAGAAATCGTGATTCCCTATATTAGAGTTCCCGCTTTATCGGTTCCTAATTGTTGGAAACTTTGTACACATAAGTACGAATTTCCAAAGCTTCCTAAATACCAAAATCTAATACTCCCAAGGATCCCATTCTAAGTACAAATTGTACCAAATATAGTACAGATAAGTACGAATTTTCGAAGCTTCCTACACTCCCACAGTAATACTAATTCCAAAGTTCAGCATTCCATCTTTACAAGTTCGCCTTAATAAAAATTATACCAAATGTAGTACAAATTTCCAAATCTATCTACTTATCCCAATAATACATTCCAACAGTAATCTTCTATTGGTTCGCCCAAATCCAAATTGTACCAAATTTAGTACACGTAAGTAAAACTACCTACATCATACATTTCAGGATTCCAACTCTATCGGCTCACCCAAAATTTAAATTGTATCAAATATAGTACCATTTAGTACACATAAGTACGAATTTCCAAAACTACCTATATTCCTCAGTCTTAGAATGCCATAATAATCTTATTTCCAAAATTCAGTATTCCAGCTCTATCGGTTCACCCAAATTGAAATTGTTCTAAATTTAGTATCATTTAGTATTTTTCATTCACACAGGTACAAATCTAGAAAACTACTTTCATATCCCAATCCTACACTACGCCAGTAATGTTAATTTCCAGTTTCAAGATTCTAGCTCCATCCTAAATTCATATTGTACTAAATTTAATACCGTTTGGCACGTTTCGTATACATGAGCACACACTTCCAAAACTATCTCTCCTTACCTCTACTCTACCCCTCAACCGTGATTTCCATTCCAAATTTCAAGTTTTTAGCTTTAACCGTTCACATGACTTGAAATGGTACTAAATGTAGTACATATTTATACTTTTCGTACTCGTATGGTGGGAATTTCCTAAAAAACAACCCTTTGGTACGTCTACCATACACACACACCCAGTGACCCTCATTCCAAATGTATGAGTTCTAGCTCTACTGCTTCCTCAAATACAAAGGGTACCATATTTAGTAACTTTTAATACTTTTCGTACCGTTCTAATACGAATTTCTAAAAACTCAGCCTTATCTGATCCCTTCGAACAAAGAGTGACCATTAACAAAAATTTCAAGCTTCAGTCGTTTAAGTCAGACAGTCAGTTAGTCAATTTCTTTACTATTTTCTCAATACAGATTTAATAAGAGTTATAATTATTATCAGCTTTAACCTTATATGTGAGAGTTGCCAGAAGGAGTGGACCGCTATTGCCCATATTTATCGTGCGACCCACCATTTCCAAATATCCTGAAACAGATTTGATCTAAAGAGACCTAGAACCTAAGACCGTTGTTTCGATAAGTACGTTTTGGCCGTATCAAATGACCTATAGGGTGAGATAAAAAACTGCAACAAAGTCAAACGCTATAAAAAATTTCGAAAATAGCATAAATTTTTAGAACAAGTTTAGATTTGTACTAATTGGTCATCTTTGGCACGAATTATGGCCTTCAACGGCCAATGAAACCGTCACACGCTGCCCGAATGTTGTTCTGCGGTATTTTGGCCCAACGGATTGGTATCCGGAGATTTTGGTGGCCTTTGTGCGGTGGAAATGAAGCGAGGAACATCATTTTGTAACCATTTTTGGGTTTGGCCGGCCCTTGAGTTCTGGTGGCCAACCTAAGATGCACATTCTCCGCTGACCTCTTTGGCAAGTAAACACGATCATTTTGTTTGTTTACAAACTGCTGGACAACGAATATTTTCTCATCCGAGAAAACCAAATCCGGCAGTTCACCACTTTCGGCCAAGCGAAGCAACTTTGTAGCTCTTTTGAGTCTATTTTCTTTCTGTTGCTTTGTAAGTTCTTGCACTTTTTGGAATTTCAATGGCCTAACCCCGAGCTCATTTTTCCATATTTGCTGAATGGAATATTGAGAAATGTTCAGCTCACGAGCCATTTTTCGGCCACTGCGACGCGGATTTCGATCAAGTCGCTTCTTTACTTTTCAAACCATTTCTGCTGATGTTGCCGTTTTCTTCCGTCCACTTCCTTGACGTCGGGCTATGCTACCAGTATCACGGTAACGAGCGATGGTACGAAACACAAAAGATTTATTCACATTTAAATGCTGGAGTGCTCTAACGACAGCCACTCGTGGTTTTCCAGCCAAATATAAAGAAATCATCACATTTGAATTCAATCAGGAATAACTTTTTTTCTAGAAAGTTCTCACCAAAATGCTTTTGTACGCTTGTAAACAATATAATGAGCTGTCACTGGAACAATTTTAACAGTTGTCGGACGAGTGGCTTAGAAATGACAGGAGTCTGAAATTGATTGCAGTTTTTTAATCTTACCCTTTATATATTATAATGGTAATATTTACCAAGGGGTAAGGTAGGGAGTAATTCGGGAGTTATTCCAAAAACAGCTCCAAAATAGTGTAACCAAATGGAAACTGAAATTTCTTTTAAATCTGACAACTGTCTCCTTAGAACTCCGACCAAACTCTATACTTTTAATTTTCAATTGCATCCTATTACTACAACAACCGAAAACACTATGTTACCTTCAGAGCTTAACAAAAAAATGATTTGTGTTTGTAGTTCAATTTTCTATATAAACCAAAATCCATGGTACCATGCCAAAATCAAATATCCAATTTTAAACGTAATTATTTTAAATTCTTAAATTTTCAACTGACATTCAGAATTTTTATTTAATACTCGTATATTTTATTTACAATGTAGCGATACAAGAACATATACATTTTAAGACATTTCAGCTGAATGTTTCGAAGACATCATTGTCCTCCACCATATCTCATATGAATGTAAGAATGAATGCTTATATAATTTGCAACATTTTGAAACATACGTAAGAAATCAACGATAATTATGAATTTCTGATTTAATTGCATTCGAATTTCCGAAAATCGATAATTATTTACTGAATTACATTCAATTGAATTTTTGGGATTTCTGTCAAGGAACCAAAGAAAAACACACACACATACGAGTATGTATCTCTGTGTGTTCATCAATTCATTTTGTGTTACTTCCTCATAAATCCATTAAACCGATTATTAATAAAAAATGGTGTCCTTTGGTCACAAGGATTTTCTACGACTATCTCCATTTATCTCTTTATCCACGACAAAAAGAGCCATAATTAAGAATTATTGTGATGGCCATCTCTTAAATGTTGACAAATGACATATTTGAAAAAAACACATACATACATACAACATAATCGACATACATACATACTTATTTATTTTGCGGAATTATCCAATTTCGTTGGAATTATTTGTTGGCTTCGTCGTTTGGTAATTTATTATTCTTTTGTATTTTTCTCGTAGAGCGCCAACTGCTGCTGGAAATGAACTTTCAGTTTGGACAATTTCCTTCCTTTGATGCATTGACGGCAATTTTCCTTTTTTGCACATTTTGCTGCTGCTACTGTTGTCGCTGATGGCGCTAATGATGTTGAACGATGATGATGACGATGTGGGAAAAGAGAACGATTGCTGTCACTTCCATTAGCCCAGTTACACGTCCCAATTTGGAACATATCAAAAGCCTCATTGTCGCAATTTCCACTTTGCTGCTGCTGCTGCCGTTGATGCTGTCGGTGGTTACATTGTTGCTCAAATGATGTTGGTTTTCGTTTTTGATTGCTGCACTGATGATTGTAATTTGATGTGGTCCTCCCCAGCTTCTTGTGGCCGTCGATGTAATTTCACATCAGCTGATGTTGGTGCTGATGCTGTTGACAGTAATCAGTGGTCAGCGCCACTTCAATGGTGTCGTCGGGTACACAATTGACCCCGGCCACCGAATTTGGCCCAACGAAATTGCCACACCCATTGGGATTGCCATTTGTCAACATGGTAATTGTCGTCTCCTGTATCCGACTGCTAACAATGTCCAACAAAAAAGGGGTGAGAATGAAAAGAGAGAAAAAAAAAACATACAAACATTAGGAATTCATGGAAGAGAGGATTTATTTATAAAAAACACAAATAAAAGAATTCATTATTAACGCCCATACACCATCCGAAATATAACATGGCTCGGAATTCATTGTGTGGTAGTCATGGGTCATATTTTGGCACGGAAGATCAATACTCAGAACGTTATTGTGAAATGTCAGTTGAAAAAAACATCAGATAATTTAATATTAAGCGGTTAAAGAAAATTATTACATTTGACCTCTGTTAAACACAATAGTTTATTTTCGAAGTATTAAATAATAATAAAAGATTATTAAATAAAATATTATCAATTTTTATGGCCTCCAATATTTTACGGAGGGTTTATAATTCCTCGAATACTCATGATAGACCCAACAAAGTATACATACATTTTTTTTTAAATTTTATTATATGAAAGCAAAAAATGTCGGAAATAGCATCAAATTTTAGAATAAGTTTAGATTTGTTCGAATTGGTCACCTTTGGCACGAATTATGGCCTTCAAATGGCCAATGAAACCGTCACACGCTGCCCGAATGTTGCTCTTCGGTATTTTGTCCCATTTTCGGCGAAGCGCTTGCTTGAGGTTTTCGACACTTTGGTATTTTTTAGTGCCAACCTTGCTTTCCAAAATACTCCAGACACAATGGATTGGTATCCGGATATTTGGTGGCCATTGTGCGTGGAAATGAAGCGAGTAACCTAATTTTGTAACCATTCTTAGTTGGTGCGTGCTGAGTCCTGTTGGAATGTTCAAGGTCTGCGGCCAAAATGTTTGCGTGCCCAAGGCTTCAATACACCCTCCAGAATATTTTCGCGAAAATATGCTAATATTCTGATGCCACGGTCGATTACTATGAGCGGAGAGCGACCATCGGCTGTTATGACGGCCCACATCATCACCATGGCCGGCGCTTGAGTCCTGGTGATCAATCGAATGTGCACATTTTCAGCTGACCTCTTTGGCAAGTAAACACGATCATTTTGTTTGTTTACAAACTGCGAATGTTTTCTCATCGGAGAAACCCAAATTCGGTAGTTCATCACTTTCGTCCAAGCGAATCAACTCTTTAGCTCTTTTGAGTCTATTTTCTTTCTGTTGCGATGTAAGATCTTGCACTTTTTGGAATTTCAATGGTTCTACCCCAGCTCATTTTTCAATATTTGCCGAATGGAATATTGCGATATGTTCAGCTCACGAGCCATTTTTCGGCCACTGCGACGCGATCAAGTCGCTTCTTTACTTTTCGAACCATTTCTACTGTTGTTGCTGTTTTCTGCCGTCCACTTCCTTGAAGTCGGCTACGCTACGGTAACGAGCAATGGTACCAGACACAAAAGATTTATTCACATTTAAATGCTGGAGTGCTCTAATGATAGCCACTTGTGGTTTTCCCGCTTGAATTCCACCACGAATAACTTTTTTTTGAAAAAATCTCACCAAAATTCTTTGGTACGCTCGTAAACAATATAATGAGCTGTCACTGGAATGGACGAGTAGCTTAGAAATTACAGCAGTCTGAAGTTGGTTGCAGTTTTTCATCTCACCCTGTGTAGTTGAAATATTAATTTATCCTAAACAGTAAAACACCAAGGCTGCTTGAAATTGGTGATAATCGGATCAGATTTAGATATAGCTCCCATATATCTTCAATTGATTTCGGATGAATTGTGCACCAAATGTCCAATATATGTCCACACGACCATAATTTTTTGTTAAAAACGGTTCAGATATAGCTATAGCTCCCATATATAGGTTTCATCCGATTTGGGGTTTTAGGTCCCTCACATGCACAACATGTACTCCAGAAGAATGATATTTGGTACCGGACATCAGATGCTGCTCGAAAATACCCCTGACAAATTTTATCGAGATTAGTTCGGATTAGGATATAGCTCCCATATATATCTTTATCCGATATTATGCTTATTGTGCACCAAATGACTAACATCAGCCCAAATGGACAGAATTTTGGCAATTACGACTGAATTATAGGATGAATTATGAATCAGTACTTCAAATTTGGTGTAAATCGGTTCAGATGTAGCTCCCATAAATATCTACCTATATACATTCAACAACGATGATCTTTGGTACCAGATATCAGATACAGCTCTGAAATAAGTGTATCAAATTTTGTCAAGATCGGTTCAGTTTTGGATATAGTTCCCATACATATCTTCAACCGATTTCGAGTTAATTGTGCTCCAAATAGCCAATATCTGTCAAAAAGTCCTGAATTTTGATACATCTGACCGAAATTAGCTAAAAGCAAGTACATCGAGTTCGTAGAAAATCAGTTCAGATATAGCTATAGCGCCCATATATATCTTTCATCCAATTTGGTGTTTATGTCCTTCAAATTCGTAATATGCATTCGACAACAACAAGCAAGATATCTTAAAGAGCTCGGAAATACCTTTACCAAATTTTATCTTGAACGGCTAAGATTTGGATATTGCTCCCATAAATCCTAATATTAGGAGCAACACGGCTCCGATATATATTTATACCCTACACCACAAGGTGGTCAGGGTATTATGTCTTTGTGCATTTGTTTGTAACAGGCAGAAGGAAACGAGATAGACCCATAGTTCCTTTTGATGATCTGCAAAGAATCACATTCTGAGTCGATTTATGCATGTCCGTCCGTCCGTCTGTCCATGTATTTTTGTAAACAAAGTACAGGTCGCATTTATTGCCCGATCCAGATGAAATTTTGCACAGATCATTTGTTTGACCCAAGGACGAACCCTATTGAAATTGGAAATAATCGGTCAAAATTTAGATATAGCTCCCATATATATCTTCGTCCGATTTGCCTTGTATTGTGCACCAAACGTGTAATATCAGACCGAATTGTATGGAATTTTGCATATTCACCCAAATTAGGTCTGAAAATATGTATGCCAAATTTGATCGAAATCGGTTCAGATATATCTATAGCTCCCATATATATTGTTCATCCGATTTGTTATTTTTGTCCACCGCCGCCGTAATATGCACTCTGCAACAACAATATTTGGGGAAATATATCAAATGCAGCTCAGAAATACATTTGCTAAATATTATCGAGATCGGCTCAGATTTGGATATAGCTCCCATATATAACTTCGTCCGATTTACCTTTTATTGTGCACCAAACGTCTAATTTTTGTCCAAATGGGATGGAATTTGGCACTTACGACCGAATTGAGTCTAGAAGCTAGTATGTCAAATTTGGTGAAGATCGGTTCAGATATAGCTATAGCTTCCATATATATTATTCATCCGATTTGTTATATTTGTTACCCACAACCGTAATATGCACTCCGTAACAACGATATTCAGGGAAATATATCAAATACAGCTCAGAAATATCTTTGCCAAATTTTATCGAGATCGGTTCAGATTTGGATATAGCTCCCATATATATCTTTATCCGATTTCAAATTAATTGTCCACCAACTGGGCAATACAATTCCGAATTTTAAAGATACAAATGCTTCGGCATATTTAGTCCTTTGAACTTTAAGTTATAATTATAATCATAGCGTGTATGATTGAATTCTCCCATAAAAACTTTTAATTGTTATGTGGAGCTCTATTAATTAGCAAAGTGGTGTAGGGTATCATAAAGTCGGCCCCGCCCGACTTTAAGACTTTCTTTACTGGTTTTTAATATAATCCTTCTCCAATTGATATCATGCACTCCATAGCAATGTTTTTTTGGTTTAAAAGTTTAAAATGTTTCCGTCAAATTTAGCAAAAAAAAAGGATTCAGAATTGGATACACCTCCTATATATTAGTTCCCTCTGAAACCAAACTGTAACTGCTCTAGGGCCAAAAGTTGAAAGGTGGTATGATCTACTTGAAATAAATTCTTTTGGTACGGGAGCTCTACTAAATATGCATAGTGGTTCAGGGTATCATATAGTCGGTCCCATCCGACTTTTGACTTTCCCTTACTGGTTTTTTTTCTCCTGATTATTTTAGAATATTCTGAAGATCCCATTTAATTTATTGCGAAATAACGAAATAATAAAACTTCATTGACAACTATAGAGTTATTGATCAAGTGAAGCGACGAATAAATCTGTAAATATTTGTCTCATATCCACTACCATTTTCAATAACGACATGCAATGAATAATTTTCGTCTTCATTGAGATGAGATGTGTCGGTTGCGGCATTTCTTTTCGGATTGACGCCCCAATGTAATCTTTCATGAAAGTGCATAGAGATCCTTGCGTGCTTAAAACAACAAAGAAACATTCCCTAATTACTTTCGAATTTCTTTGGACGCAAACAAGTTTAAACAAATGGGTCGTAACGAGTTGCTTGAAATGCAATTTTACTTAAGAAAATGTTTTGGGAGACTCCCACAACACAAGGCTATTTGTTTGTGTGTGTGTGTGGTTTTACTAACATATATTACATTTTATTATGAAAACAGAAACTTAAATTATTATTTTGTTTTGCAATTTCATTGAAATTGAAATTTGGTACACAATGTCCTCAAATTAATTGGGAAATTACTTTCTGAATTTATTTTATAAATGTAAATTCTTTATATAAAAATAATTTAATTTGGCGTAAACTTCCAGTCGAGTTATGAAGGATTTGCGAAGTTTAGAAACAATGGTCCAAATATAAATAGGGTTTCTATAACACTTACTTTGATGCAGTCACCAAGGATATAAATCAATGCAGTATACATTTCGTACTCGGAATCAATCTTTCCTTTCTTTTTATTTCTTGCCGGTCAGTGGAAATTTCTTTACCATTTGAATCGATCGATTTCGATTCCTAAATATGTTGTTCATAATTTTTTTTGCTAGATTTTAGACGAACCATCAAGATCGGTTGGAGAATGCAGTTAAAGTGTTTCAAGTTTTGATTATTGATATTCGTCGTAGACCCCATAAAGTATAGATATTCATAATCAGCATAAAATTC